CAGCGGTGTTTCAACACATGCAAATCCATCAGCATAATACATCATATCAACAGAGCCAAAGAAAAAATCATGTGATTTATCTCAACAGATGCAAAAAACCCCACCTTTTGATACAGTCCAACACTTGTTTGTCATAAAAGACAACCCTAGAGAAAATAGAAATACCTGTTCTCTACCTCAATTTGATAACAGCCATTCATGATAAACCAACAGTCAGCATCATACTAAATGGACAAAAGCTGAAAGCTTTCATTCTAAAATGAAGAACAAGACAAGGATGTACACTATGACCTCTCGTATTTAATATAATAATGGAAACATTAACCAGAGAAATTAGACAAGAGAGAGAAATAAAAGGAATAAAAATACGAGAATAGTTTAAATTATCATTATTCACAGATTACATAATATCTAAAAAACTACACCAAAAAACTTTTAGATTTACTAAGCAAATTCAGTAGCGCAGTCAACATCCAAATGGATACAACATCTAAACTAAAAACTCAATAGCACTCCTATACACAAACTCACTGAGAGAGAAGTTAGGGAAACCATACCCTTCAAAATAACATCCAAAAAGATGGAATAGTTAGCAATGAATCTAACAAAGGAAAACAAAGTTCTATACATTGAAAATCGTAGAATTCCAAAAAGGGAGATTGAACAGAAATTCAGAAAATGGAAAGATATCCATTGCTCATGGATAGGAAGAATCAACATTGTGAAAATGGCCATACTTCCAAAACTGTTATACAGATGCAATGCATTTCAAATCAAAATACCATGACAATATCTCAGATATCTAGAGAAAATATTACTAAAATCCATTTGAAAACAGAAGAGGCCCAGAATAGCAAAGGCAATCGAGGACAATAAAAGAAAGGCAAGATCACTGATTTAACATTATACTACAAAGCTATTATGATAAAATCAGCATGAAAAACAAATTAAAAGAAAAAAAAACTGACCTGAGGATCAGTGGAACAGCTTAGAATATGCAGACACAACTGCAAACACACTCAGCACCTTATCTTTAACAAAGAAGCAAAATTATTCAATGGAAGAAAAATAGTCTGTTTAATAAATTATGCTGGGAATACTGGCATTTCACACGCTGAAGACTACTGGGAAGCCATGTCTATCACAACACCCTAAAGTAAAGTCACAATGAATGAAGGATCTAAATATTCAAACAGAAACACTAAATCTACTGGAAGAAAATGTAGGGAGAAATCTTGCAAACATAGTGGTAGGCACAGATTTTATGAACAGAACCCAAACTTCATGGGAAGTACTTCAAGGAATCACCAACTGGGATCTCATCTTTTTAAAAAGGTTTTGCACATCAAAAGAAATCAGCAGCAGAGGGAAGAGATGACCCACATAGTGGGGAAAAAATTTAGCCAAGTTCCCCTCAGAGAAAGATTTTTTTATCTAGACTGTATCAAGAGCTGCAAAAAAATCAGGTGGCCTGAATTCAATGATCCAATACAAAAATGGGCAGTTGAGATGAAAGCATACTTCTCAGACGAGGCAATGCAAGTGGGAAATAAGCATATTAAAAATATTCAACATCATTGGTCATTCGAGAAATGCAAATTAAAGCAAGACTGAGATTCTATCTCACCCCAGAATGAAGGCCAATCATCAAGAAATTGACCAATATCAAATGCTGGCAATGCTGTGGGGAAAATGGAGCCCTTCTCCACTGTTGGTGGGAAGGAATGTGGACTGGTAGAACTGCTACTGCAACCAGTGGGAGATTCCTCAAGAACACTAGGATTAGAGGTCCCATTGACCCTGCTTCCCCTCTGGGCATTTTCCCAGAAGAATTAAGAACATCATACCACAGCAATGTATGTGTACCCCTGTTTATAACAGCAGAGTTTTTCATACCTAAACTTTGGAAATAACCCAAATGGACATCAAAAGCAGAACTGAGTAAAAGATGGGCTATATTCATACAAGGGTGTACTACTCAGCTATGAAAAAGGATAAGTTCGAAGATTTCTTAAATAAATGGGTACAATTAGAGCCCATACTGATAGGTGAAATAAATCAGATGTGCATGTATAAACATCATATTGTCTTCCTAGTGTGAGAATATCTAAAATGTACAATGCATATCATGGAAGGGGGAGAATCTGCCTAGAAGGAAAGAACAGGTGGAATGGAGAAAAGCAGAAAAGAAGGAAAAGAAAAATATATGTATTTACATACTAATATAGGTAAGATAACTACACTAATTTCTTCTAGTTTGTTGAAAAGGTTTGTGCTTATACTGTTTGATCAATTTTTCAAGCATGAGTTTTGTAATCTAGACTGAGGATAAAAACATGCAATATGTTAACCATTATTAATTTTTGATTATCTCGTATTGAAATTCTGTGTCATACTCTTTATTGTTTTATTTCTTTAAAATAAAATTTAAAAATTACGAAGAAAATTAAAACTTTTCCACAATCACGAAACTGAAGGAGCTCAGGCAGAGGATTCCAAGGAAGCAGCTGGAAAGGAGGGGCAGAATTCCAAGTAGATTAGCCTTTGCCTTTGGGAGATTGACACGGAGGAGCTGGCAGGAGGGACCTGGGAGGCTCAGGAGATTGGAGTGAGGCTTCCTGGCTGCATAGTAGGGGACGGGTGGTGGCTGAGCCTCAGCTTGTCACAGCTCCTGTGCCCACTGGGTGGGGTGCTTTGTGACAAGGATAGTAGAGCCCTGTGACTTAGGCCTGCAGCCCCCCTTTCTGGTCTGCCAGGTAACCTAAAGCTCAGTTGCCTGACAGTGACTGTGCGATTCAGATGTTAGACAATCTTGTCTCTCTTCTGAAGAGCTTTTGTGCCACATGGCTAAACCTCAGCTCCACCCCTTGGGCTACGGATATGATCCTCGCCTTTGTGGGTGGAGTGGGGGTGTACCTCCTGTTACTGCCCTTCCTCCCGGATAACCCATCCCTACCACCTCCAGCCCCACTCAGGAAGAAGAAAAGTTCCAGAAAGGTGAGAGATCCTCAGTCGCATGCTACAAAGAAAAACTCTCTCTTTCTTCTACTCTTCGTTCTACTGCTTTTCCAAATGAACGGGAGACCAATGAGAAAGTCTCAGAAAAGATTAGAACATCATTCTTTGCTTATCCATTTATTTACTTCTCTTCTTATGAGACAGGGTTGCTTTCTTTTTTCTTTCTTCTTTCTCTTTCTTTCTTTCTTTTTTTCTTTCTTTGTTTCTTTGTTTCTTTCCTTTTTTCAATCAGATGCTGAAATCAAACTCTGTTTCAGTGACCAAGGACCAGATTCCCTAGAGACCTCTGCAGTAGGACAGAGCCACAGCACTGGTTCCAAGAAGCCCTTCTTGGAGCAAGTTCCTCTGGCTGAGTCCTGTCTGTGTGCTACCCTGATGAATGGGCAGTGCTGAGCCCTTGAGTTTCCCAGCAGAGCCTAGAACCACCTCTGTCCTGAGGAAGCCAATTCTCCTTCGCAGCTGAGTTGTGCCTGTGGACACCTCTGCTTTCTGCTCAGACACCCTGTGCTGGGAAAAGACAGGCATGGTAGAGCTTGCTTAGAAAATCTTCAGTGCTTTCCAAAGAAGGCAAACAGACCACTTTAAAAATGTGTTTCATTACATAAATTACAAAGTTTTATTTATCAAAAGACTTCAGTAGAATTACTAGAGAGAGGAGAGAGGGCATTGGACTCAAGTTCACCTTTTATTCTTGTCTCTCAGTACCACATGGTGAAGAAGGATTGGAGTAGGATGGCAAAAAGGAGCTGCTCTCTGAGAGGTGAGGTTTCCTTCTTCAACCCTAGAGGTGCCATGACCTTGCTTGTCCCTGAGCAACTAGAGATTCCTGCTCTGAGGAGGCCACCTGGGGAGGCAGGGGAGGGTGGCTGAATCCTGGGAAGGAAAACAGAGCTGAGGACATTTCCCAGACTCTGTGTTTAGAACAAAGCTGTGACAAACTTGGGGATGTGTGATGCCCAGAAGAGGTGGAGCAGGTGTCTATGGACCAGTGCTGCCCAAATTTGGTGGTGTGACTTCATTATAAAACTGTAGAGAACTGCTTCACTTTGCTATCACACAACCCTCTTTGAGATGATCTGCCCTTTCTCCTCCACAGCAAGGTTATGAAGAACCTGGAGGTTAGCAGAGATGGAGGCACCTTATAAATGATTAAGTGCTACCTCTCTGTGTGACTTGGTATCACTGTCACTGGTTTGGACAGTGATGCATGGATTCCACACTTGAGTTTCTCATTTTTCTCCGAAGAGAGATTTCCTTCAATCTCCCCTCTTCTTCAATATATCCCTTCACACTATCCTTTTCCAGTTGGCAGAGTCTTCTGGGAGGAAGCAGAAGGGATTAATGACCTGGATTCACTTCTGCATAGGTGAGAAATTTCCTACTTCTATCTATGTCTGCTCCCTACCGAGGGCTATGAAGTGATCTTACGGGACTGGGCTGAGTTTGGAGAGCAGGGAATACCCTACAACTTGAAATGGGGTGTGACTAAAACACTAGGTGGAAAGGCTTTGTAGGCTCAGGATGCAGGGCCCTGGAGAGCCCATAGATTGCAGTGGTCTGCCCCTAACCAGCCTGCTGGATCTTCCATTCCCATCTCCTCCCAACTATAACTGGTGCTTTTTGTCTTCTTCAGCCACCCAGGGAATCTCCTACATGGTAACAGATTTAATCAATTGACAAGAGAAGATGCCCCTGGTGAGACACTCCAACCATTATCTGCTAGAACTGACAGCGCAGTTAGGCAGCCCTTGGAGGACATGCTTGTCTCCCCTTCATCCTTTGTGGTTTCCCAAGCTCCTGCATCTGAGCACCTCCCATCTCTGACCTCTACCTTGTCACAGGGTCTGAAGACTTTCCCACTTTCTGTTGGATCACAATCCCCTGTGAGGGCCTCTTCAACACCAGAGCCTTCTGGTCCTCTAGGATGCCCCTCACCCCAACCATTTTCAACATCCTCTTCCCCATTGCATTCTCCTGGCCCCATGGCTTCCCCACCACCTCTGCCAGACCCCAGCCTGGCTCTTCCTCAGCAGGATTCATCCCTTCTCCCACTGGGGACCATCCCACAGAGCTCCTCTTCATCCAACCAAGGCTCACTGCCTTCTCCAATCCGAGCAATTTCAATTCTTGGCCACTCTGTCTGTGCCATCTCAGCCCTTCCCCAGTGTCAGGAGCCTCCCAGAGCCTTATGTCACTCCAGCATTTCCAACAGTGAAGCCCAGAAAGGTCACCTGATCAATCAAGTGCAAGCAACCTCATTCCTGGCAGACACTGCCCCGACACAGGTGGAGAATGGTAGTTCCCATTTCCTCAATCCTGCTGTCCAGAAAGTGCTGGAAATACTGATCACCAAGAAAGTGGAATTGAAGATCCATAAGAACAGTAAAGGGGAGGGGCCACACAGCCCCCAGTATTCTCTGGGGATTATGTTAAAGTCCCTGGGCAAAGAACACGACCTTATCACCCTGTCTCCATTCTGGAAAACTAAAGCAGAACTAGAGCAGCTTCAAGCTTTGCCACAGCTCCCCTACCCAAAGATATTCTGGGAAGATCATGTGCAACACAAAGGGAGCCAGCTTTTCTGGGGCCTCCCAGGTCTACACAGTGAGTCCCTGGTGGATAACACCAGAGTGCCTGATGCCTCACTAGAGTTTTCTACCATTTTATTCAACGGACTCTGTAATGATGTCCCAGCACGAATTCAGTCCAATGTTACTCCACAACTATTTCCCCCTCAGCCCTTGGCCAATGATGTGGCCCAGTCCCACACAATCACTCCAGCTCTGCCTCCATCCCAACCCCTATCTCTGTCTCAGAAACCGACCCAGGAGCATGCTCCTCCTCTCCCAACTGATTCTTGCTATTCACCTCCAGCCATTTCTGGTCTTAAAGATCAGAAAGGGAAGAAACATGCTATTTCACATACTGTTCAACAACTACAATGCAAGTTTTTGAAGGAGCCAGAGGAAAAGAGAGATTTTCTTCCTTTGGTCAAAAAACCTCAGAAAGTCTTTAGGCAGCATGCTGACAAACATGGGATCATCCAGGAAAACAAGTCCTCAGGCAAGGTCCCAGTGGATGTTATTTACTTTAAGGTCCAGCAACAACTGCAGGAACATGTTAAAAAAAAATTGGTGTCTGGGCTGCCCCAGAGGGCTGACCTGTCTCTGGACAGGGAGAATCACCCAGGAACAAGGAAGCCAAAGGAAAACTGTAGGCCTTCCCAGACTACAGTGATTTCAGATAAAAGCTGTCAGGTCATACAAAAGACCATGTCAGAGTTCCCAGAAATATCCCAGACAGGGAAACACTCAACTAAAGACCTGGAGAAGGCCCCAAAAGACCTATCCAAGTGTCTAGAAAACTCTGCAGTGAATGTCCTAGAGTCTATCTGTGATCCAGCATCACCAAGGAAGGGGTTGAGACTCCTAAGTAGTGATTCAGGCAATGATTCTGCAAGCAGGCCAGACAAGAAGAACATAGAAGACTGTGAGAGCATCCGTCCAAGTGGGCAGTTTGAGCAGACAGGGGAAGGAATCTTTGTGGACACTGATCATTCCACCCTTACTGTGGACCATGCCTGCTACCATCATGGAAACTCAAACATCTCCATGGAAAGTGAGGATGAACCATCCCTGCAGGGTCAGGAGTATGGCAGGAACACCCAGGACCTCTCTGTCCTTGATGCTGGGACTCATCAGATGCTGGGAGCACATCTGAAAAGACTCTGTGTGAGACACAGGTGGGGCTTAGCCTTCAAGGTCATCAGAGTCATCTTGAAGCTGAAAAAGGTTCACACCTCATTGCTTCCACAGCCTGCATCTTCCTCCTCAGCCTCCCAAAACTCCAAGCCTGACTCCACCCACCAAGATATGAATTTGCAGGGAGAACCATCTCAGAGTATTCCAGGAGAGAACGCTAAAACAACAATGTCTGATCTCAAAATACAGGGTCCTTTCACTGGTCACTCATTCAAATATCCAAAGGAGAGAATATCTGCTGATGATCACGGGCCCTCAGAAGCTGCACCAACTGGACAAGAGACCAGCCTGAGTGCTCAGCCCCATTTATACTGCCCTAAGAGCAGAGACCAGAATCCTGATACTGTCTCAAGTCCAGGGAGAGACAGCATTGGTCCAAGTCCAATCACAGTAATGGACAAATATCAGCCTCAAGAGCAAGGTGGTGTGGTCTCTAGAGACCCTTCCCATCATAACTTGACAGGGGAGGTGAATGTAGGTTCTCCATGTTCAAGGGAGAGAGACATCCAGAAGACCATGAACACAGAGGTGAAGAAACCCTTGGAGGTGGCAGTTACCAAGGGAGCCAGTGGGTTGGCACCCTCCCCAAATCTTAATGTGAGTCCCAGGAGTTTAAAGTCTCCAGGGCCCAAGAATAGGCTTCCCTCACCCAGAATTTGTTCTTTGCAGGAGCCAGGAGTCTCATCCTTGGGTACCCTGGCAATGTCGAAAAATATGGATTCTGCAACCAGAGTCCTCCTGCAAGACTTTGCCACTGGCAAAGTCCTTCAAGTCTCTTCCTCAGAGATACCTCTCACCAGAGACATCCTGGATTCTCAGGTTGATCTGGCCAGCATTGGAGGAGTGTCCACTAGCAGCACATCACCATCCCGAGGGATAGTTGACCCCTTAATGCAGGACAGAATTAGTCAGGATCAAAAGGAGCCCGGGATCTCAAACCTCCAGGATCCACAGGAGATCAAGAGTAACACGTTTGGGCCACCTGAGAGTGGAGGGGGCTTCATGAGCCCCATTAAAATGATCACTAATCACCCATCACCTTCCCAAGGGATATGTGACCTCCCAGTGAGGGAAACAGGGCACCAGGAAAAGGAGCCCAGACTGCCCAAATCCCAGGAGCCCAGGGTGAGCCAGAAGCACATGTTTGCTCTGGCTGAGAAGAGGGGGAGCTCTCAGGGGCCCAAACCAGGACGGAAGGAAGAACAATTTGCAGGAAGAAGGGGGGTTGGAATGTTGATGCCCCCTTTTCAGGTCAGGGAACTAAGAGATAGCACAGGGTCCAAGGCTCTGTTTGAGTCAGAGAACAAAATGTTACCTTCAGAAGCTACCACTGCGAACCCAGTCAGGAAGTTTCTGCAGAACATACTGTGCAAGAAAGACAGAGCAGTGGCAGAGCCCCTGCAGAAAGCCAAGCCCCCAGCTACTGTGATCCAAAGTCAAGGATCAGACATGAAACCCAGAGTCTCTAGGGACAAAGGCACCATGGAAACCCACATGCTCATGAGCACTGTTGGAAGGATCTTAATGGACACACTAAAGCTACGCCATGAATTTTCTGCCTCAAAAGAAAATTTGCAGAAAGGGGTTCCCCAGGTGGATAGGTGGTCCTCCTGCCACAAGAATGCTTCCTCTCCACAGCAAAAGAAAGTCCTGAGCAACATGGCCTGTGGTCCGCAGGCCAGGCCCCAGCGCCCAGGCCATGTGACAAATGGAAGCCTGAGCAGAGACAAGTCAAGCAATACTGTCTTCCCATCCAGGGAGCCTGGGGCCTTACCTGGTTACTTCCACAGGAGGCCCTTGGGGTCTGGAGCCTCACAGCCCCCTGTTCACTGCCCCAGGCACTGTGCCCTTCAGAGAACTCTGTTCCACAATCAGTCACATAATGCTTCCCATATCCGTCCTGGGGAAAAATCTTTGCTGAGCAAATCTGCTCTATCTCATCCAGGCAGGTCTTGTATGGGCCACGGTCATCCTTCTAAAGAGATGTCTGTGGATTCCCAATAAAGGACTTTTTCCTCACCGAGGGCATACTTTCTGTCTGTGTTGTGTTGAGGCCTGAGAAGAAGTAAGTGTTTGATTTTCTAAATAGCAGCTTTAGGCTATGACTTAGGCAAGTCCCTTGTTTTATCCAGACTTCTTTTCTTGACCCACCCTGAGCTCACTGCTACACATTTCTTCTCACCCCTTCGTCTTGAAAGGCTCAGGAATGCTCAGAAAATAGTGCTATGAGTTCCCCAAATGCTATTATTAGCAGAGGGAGCTGCTCACATTTGTTTCCTGTGTGAGGATTGTTAGGAGCAAAGCTAGGAATGATTATATTTAAGGGAGCTTTAGAAAAGGTTCTGGTAGGAGGCAGCGTTTAGAACCACAAATCTTTCTTGCTGTTTGCTGAAGCAGCTTCGGACATGTTTCTGTGGAGGGGCCTTTGCCTTACAAGGTGTGATAAAAATAGTGCAGTGATGCTGCTGGTACCATTCCACAGAAATGTGGGGTGTAAAAGCACAGTGGTGCGTGGCCAACAGCCTTATTTGCCAGATTTGCCAACTTATGGCTCTTCCCCGAAGTCCAAATATCAACAAAAAGTAAATATTTTGAATCTTTTGAAAACATTGAGACTGCCACAAACACAATAAAAATTCTCATGAAAGAGTGTGGGTCTGGCTTACAAAGTAGTCTTGGTAAAATTGGCTACCGATGTTTATTCTTGGCTAATTTCTTTTGATGCATGGGTGTACAGCCATCTGCTCCACTGTAGTATTCCCCAAATTCACAATTCTCACTCACAAGCCTTTAACCAACACCTAATTTCGTAACAGAAAATGTCCCCCCAGGACATAAGGTAGTGTCAGTTCCAGGTAGTTTAAACTGCAATTTTCAACTGTCAGCGTACTTCAGTTCCTCTTTCCCAGGAGAGGCTGGACTTCCGCTTCAGTGAGAGCCAATCCCCAAAGGACAAGCCCCTCTGCTTATGTCCTCCTACTTCTGGTATCTCCAGAAAAGTTCTACCCCTGAGCCTTGGGCCCTACTTCTTTGGGAGTCATCCCAGTTGGGTCTAATCAAGTAATAAAGCTGATTCTTGCCTCCAAACCTCTGTGCCACTTGGTTCTCACTCATGGCTTTGCTATCACCATCCTACTAAGAAAACCTGTTTGGGTTTCTACCTATGTCCTTTATAAGTTTCAATTCCAAACCAAAAGTCACCCTACCTCTGATGATCAGCAAACTCAAAAAAATGCCCCTAATAATGTTCCCCTTAGCTTAGAGAAGTTGCTGGGGTGACCATTTTGTTGTCAGTTGTTTATGTTGGTGATTTGTCAAAATAAAACACTGCACTAATGAGGACTGGTACCAGGGATAAAGCTGTCATATAGAAACCCTGCTTCGCACAGGGTAGGTCCTGAGTTCAATTCCTGGTACCCCACACCAAAGAGTACACTAGTGAGGACTAAAAATAGCACAAGATAACAGTAAGTACAAAAATATCCTTTCCTTCCTAAAGCTGAAGGGATGGGAAGATTGCTTTGGGAATAGGGCCAACCATTCAAGTCTAAGGTCCTTTCCCTGTTTCCTGGGACTTGCTGGTGATAACTCACTAGGGAGTGGGCCCTGATTCTCAGGTCTCTGTGACTTCCATCATGGAAAGAGAACCAGAATTTGTCTAAAGGTAGAGGGAAGGTGATCTCTGCTCTGTTTTGCTGCTTGTTCTTTCTTTGACATAGGAACAACAGTTTTTCAGAAATATGAAGGACCATTGATCTCCCCTCCCATCTCTTTTTTGGGATTGAAGGTCCTTATCTCCAAACCACTCTGTGTACCACACCTCTGCCTTGAATCATAACAGTTCTCATGCATTCCATTCTAATACTTCCCACCTGTCCAGTTCCATTAATGAAATGACATGTGCTTCCAAAAATGCCTTCTCCCATTACCATGCAAAGCTCCCCAACCGTAACTAGTCTTTCCTTTGCCCACCCCTATCGTCTACCCAGATTACACAGACTTTGACTCAGGTTCTGCCTAACAGTTCAACCCCATTTTGTGGGGTACTACTCACCACTAAGTTGCTTCTCATCACATTCTTATTAAGGTTATCAAAGACTTTATTTCCTTCCCCAACAGGTACTTGTCTTTATAATGGCAGCCATTCTAACCGATGTGTGGGATGAGTTTGAGTAGAGATATAAAATATTTTTGTATGCATTTATTGGCCATTGATATCTCTTCTTTAGAGAAAAATCTATTGAGATCATTTGTCTGTTTTTAAGTGGGTATACTTACACATTTTGCTCCTGTTGGTGGTTTTCTTTTTATGTATTTTGGATTTTACCCACTCATTACAAGCATGCTTTGAGAATATTTTCCCTTAATGCATGGCCTGTGTCTTCATTCTGTAAATTGTGTTTCCTTTTAAAGGGTTTAACAATGTAATCTTATTTATTTATTTACTTATTTATTCAACCTGTGTGTTTGGATCCTACCCAAGGAAGTATTGCCTAAAACATTTCACAGAATTTTTCCCTGTGCCTTTCAGACATAACATAGGATTTGGTAGCTTCACTCCTAGGTGTCTACCAAGTACTGTCAAGAGGTGTTAAATGAATAACTTGTAGGTGAATGTTCATAATAACATTATTCACTATTCAGAATAATCTAAAATAGCTAAATGTACATCATATGATAATGGAAAAAACAAATGTGGTTGGTAGGCACAACTGAGTGTGATTCAGCCTTAAAAGTGTGAAATCCCTCAAAAGCATCAAGCCAAATGGAGAAAAAGATTCCATATTTCAGGATTTCGAGAATGCGCGCGCGCGCGTGTGTGTGTGTGTGTATTGGCAAATCCCTGGTGAGGGCACATGGGTGTTTTCAGGAGCTGACAGATGGAGTGACCCCTGACAGGATTGAGGAGTCCTTCTGGGGAAGATGAAGATGCTCTGAGCCTGCAGGTGTGAGGCAGCGCTGTGCCATGGAAGGAGCAACTGCCACAGACCATAAGGGGCAAATGTGAATTTCAGGTTCCATGAATTCTATCTCAATGAAACTTTTACTATAAATTTAAAGAAATGCTCCCTTTTGTCCTCATCAACCATTGACCATCTTCTCAACAGTTAGAGGAAAAGCTTGAGTTTTTAATTTTTTTCTTTTTTCTTTTTTTTTTTTTTTTTGGTGGTCAAGTCAAATCACAGATCTGTGATATTTGGGTGAGACACTTAAGTCTGGTTCTTAAAAGCTGTTTGAAACATTTCTCAGTACAAAAATATCACTGCTTTGCTTTATGGTGTAGGAGATATAAAACCCAATCATTTATTTATGTATAGTGGAGGATAACAATATTTTACTGGTGAAAAATCAGACTTCTCTCCTTGGTGAAGACTTTGCCCCACATCCCATGGCATGTGGTGTGGCCCTCTAGTAAATGGTGGATTCTGAACATGTCCCAGAGTTCTGCCAAGGGCACAGCCTTGGAGTCCATTGGGCAAAAAGACACTGGCTTGAGGTCCATTACCTGCGTCTCTCTGGTTTGCTGTTTGTCTTCCCTGCCAGCTGGAAAGGGAGACAGCAATATGGCGCTCATGTGATTCACACCGTCCAGTTGTAGGGACAAGACCGTGACTTTGGCCCCAGATGCACTGCAAAGTTCGATCCCCCCCTCGTGAGATGGGCTGCACCCCATGCGGCTCACAGGACTTCTGCTCCTCTGAACTAAGGTCTGTGGGACCCCATGGGCATGGGACATTTGGTAACTTACAGCACATTTTCCTCCTTCTCGATGACTAGGGAAGACGTTTTGATTTAGATTTTCAGATTTTAGAAAAGAAATAGACTTTCTTGGCATAAGTTGTGTGCACTGCCCCAACATGTGGTATAATCTCATTTCTAATTCATATCTGCTGATAAATCATTTTTCTCCCTCTTTCATTAAAGAAAAAGACTGTATTTCATTTAGCTTTCTAGTAGGATATGTGCATGTTGTAAATTTTAAAACAAAAAGAGAATAAAAGTGATGACAGAATTTCAAAATAAAAAACAGGGGGTTAACACTGATTTATAGACTGTGTACTGTTATCTTCAAAGTATTTTCAAAGATTTCAAAGATTACAAGATGTGAGCATGAAAAAATGATCAAGCAATCAAACGATGAAAGTACAAGCTGTTCTTTCTGATGAACTAACACAGATTAGTAGCATAATTATCTATCCTTATAGAGCCATGTGTATTTTAAAGTCAGTATAATTCCTTTCCTTTGGATTGAACTTCGGGCCTAAAATAGAGTCCAGAGACAGAAACCCCCACATTTCTATTGCAACAGGAGTGAGGAACCCAGATCACTCTCCCACCACAGCCAGTTACACACACACAGGGTCACATGTGCAGCCAGATGAACTCTTGGGTGTTGTGCTGGTCATTCCTAACCAGGTGTCCAGTGTCCTCAGGGAGGCCTGACAACTAAAAGTCACCATCTACCATTTAGACACTGAGCTCTAAATCAGAACTCAATTTACAACAACCTTGACATCCTTGTTCCTCAGATTGTAGATGAGAGAGTTCAGCATGGGGGATACCATAGTGCAGAAGCGCACCAGCACCCTGTCTTGCTCGGCTGAGGCCTTGTAGTGGGGCTATAGGTGGGTGAAGAGAGCCATCCCATAAATCATGGGGACCGTGCAGCGGTGAGAGGCACAGGTCTCAAAGGCTCTGCTGCGTCCTTGGGTAGAGTTGATCTTCACTATGGAGGCCATGATGTGAACATAGAACAGAGAGACCAGGCAGCAGGACAGCAGCAGCACCACCACACTGGATGTCACTATGCTCGCCTGGTTGAGAGTGACATCTACATAAGCCAGCCTGACCAGTGCCATGGTCTCACAAGCCACATGGTTCAGCACATTGTGCCCACAGGTGAGCAAGCACATGGTGACAGCGGTCTCTACAGAAGAGTTAGCCAGGCCTGCGAGCCAAAGGACACCAGCCAGTGCCACACAGAGCATGGGACTCATCACTGC